TATATATATATATATATATATATGGAACCGTATTGTTGGCCCAAACTTCTTCTAAATGCAACAAATCAGTTTCAATGTGATCCAAATAACTTTCGTTTCAAATTTGTTAAAAGTATTTCTGATCTTTTCTATTTATTAAATGTGAGTCTGAGGACCTTCTAGTACACTTATCTAACAATCAGGGCAATTACAATTACAATTACTCAGTTAATCCGTTAATACAGGGGCGGATTTTGAGCTCTCCCCCCTCCCCCTCCTTTTTTGGAATGTCAAAAAATAAAAAGAAAGAACGAAAAAGGAAACAATGATCGCCCAAAAGGCATTAGAGGTTATTTTTGGGCGTCTAGAACACAGATATTTCGTGGGGGCATGTCCCCGGACCCCCTATGATATTGTTATCTCGATCGGCCTCACTTTTGGTCCCTCTTCCGCCCCCTCCCACTTTTGGACATCTCTGGATCCGCCCCTGATTAATAAGTAAAGGAAATAAACAAAAATAACTGGAGAGAGGATATTGGAAGTAAGGCCGCCCTCGCCGTTTATTAATTATTTAAAGAAACAATTAATTTAGAAGATTATTTTTATTAAATAAATTAGATTTTGAAGGAGTATCATTGAAATTTAAACTCCGCTATAACACATTGCCCTTAAATGTCTCTAGATGGTCTTATGACAATAATGGCTTATGCCCTCTTTGTAATACGAATAACGAAGAAGACATGACACACTTTTTATTTACTCGTACCGCTCTCATTAACATACATTTAGATAAGTTAAATGAACTTGAATTTAAATTAAATAGTCATAATATTGATATTTGGGATCAATTTTCGAATTCTAATATTAATATTAAAATAAGTTACATCTTAGTCTCCGCTGCTATTTCTTTGACAAAAAAAAGTCGAGAAATGTTTCAATTAATTTTGTAACATTATGGAAAACGAACGTGGAGAAAACGACCCGAACTGAAACATTACAAAGCTTGTCGTAGATTAAGTTTCCGTATTGGTGATTAATTTGTATTCAATCAATTTTTTTACCCAACTTTATTGTAGAGTTGGTTGGTGCAGGTGGCTCTTCAAAACATGTGAGAGGGGATGCAATTGTTTTTTTTTTCTTCTCATGCTTTTTGAGGAGCTATCTGCCTCACCAGTAGCACTACTACATGTGGTTTTTTTTCCGTACTTAAGAATTACATGTTTTCTTTAATAATTTTGTCATTTTATTTACTATATAGTAGTTAAGAATTCTAATTTGTTTGTTTTGAGTGTCACGGATGTAAATGTGTATGTTCTAATAAATATTATTATTTAATTTCCATATGTAAAATAAAAGTTTAAAATTTAAGATGGATTAATCTTTACTGAGATTTTGTGCTTAAAATGAGTCCGAATAATATTTTTATGCCCTAGAATACAAGGATCATTTTTTAAAAATTCGTTCAAAATTTGATTTGGAAGTAAAATGCAATTTTATTAATAATAATCTTTTCAGGCACAATTATCATCATCGTTATCATCACCATCATCGTCATTATCAACCTCACCATCGTCGTCATCGCCATCATCATCATCGTTATCATATAATTATAATCGTTATCATCATCAACATTATCATTATCAAGATCATCATCCTCATCATCACCGAGATGTGGCTGCAGTGGAGTCTCTGAAAGTCTTGAAACGGGGGGGGGGGGGGGGGGGGGGGGGGGGGGGGGGGGGGGTGCTAATGAGGAGGGGGATCAATGATCGGTTAAGGGGCGCTAATTCGCAAAATAATGTGTTTTTATGTGAGGTTTAACTACTTGACTCAGATTTGTTGGGTAGCGACTGGGGGAAGGTAGGAAGCAAGTAATGTTTGAAGGGGCATGCGCCCCTAGATACGCTGCTGTGAGGCTGTCCACTATAGGGCATATTCCTAAATATTGCCATCAATGTAGCCTCTCTCTTGCTGTTTATATCCAGCATTTGTATGCGTTGATATTGTTTGCCATTTACGACGAGGGCTCCAATGTCCCAAACGAGCTGGAATATGAAACACGACGACAGACCCAAGTTATAAGACAGGGGGTCCACACCCAACTTAGTCCCACCATGGTTAGAGCAAATTTTAAGACTAAACACCCTGGAAATAGTACTTCAGAATCAATTTTTCAAAGGTGTTTTCAGAGATGGGCTTCCTCGACGGGGGTCCAGAGATCTCCGATGGTGGGTGTTGAGATTACTTAGGCCTAGAACCTACTAGCTCCAATAAAGAAAGTACTACCGATAAATTTTTATTTAATGTTTCTTTATTCAATATATCCCTGCCAAACCCATTAATAAATAATACATAACAAAATCATGCTTATCGGAAAATTACAATAATCTTTATGGTTTACAATTTGAATCCTCTAAATAATATTTTTTTTTTAAACAAAAAAAAACAAAAAAAAACAATGCATGGAATAAATTCGTCTAGTTTCCTTCGATGTATATACTTTTTTTTGTTAAGCACACATATAATGGCATTGATTGGCACATGGTCAAATCTCTGTCCACCCTATGAAATTTTCTTTGACAAAAACCTATTGTATGCCCATATATAGTTATGATGTGTCTATATATTGGCATGGCGATGTCATCATTACCATATTTAGTCATCATGACCCTGATATTTAGGCATGCCACGTTTCTGTCAATTAAAATAAGGATAGGGGCAGCCGCAGTAACATCTGAAACATTGCAGGTATGCAATATTATTTATTTCTAATTGAAACAAAGAATATCTTTTTAAAAAAAAGAGAGAGAGAGAGAAAGAAACATTGCCATCTGTGAAAACTTCATTTATAAAATCTGAGTGCTACAATAATGTAAATTTGACTAAATAATGGTTTTTGAACATTTCATTATGATCTGCATTTTCACACTGTATGTATATAACATAATATAAACAAAACTTATTGATGGGTCTGAACTAATAAAACGCCATCCCAAATAAAGCACACATTTAGCTTAGCCACTGTTAAATCTTAATATTTAAAAAAAAAGCAAGTAAAAAAAATCACATTGGAATGTTATAAATGTTATAATGAAATCTCCACTTACCAAAAAATATTAATCAAAACCATATAACAAAAAAGAAACCCACTTGTTTGTACCGCTTTTTAGTTGAATCAAGAACATAGATCATTTAATGACAAAATATCATCCTGTTCATAATATTATATATGAACAAAAATGCAAGCTAATAAACGAGGATAAAAGTGTTATACATACATACATACATGTAATTTCCATTCTTACATTTTCACTTAGTTCAACTTTCAGGTAAAATGGGCTTGTTACTCATTTATATAAATTGCTAACAAATATTTTAACATTTGAATTTGTTTAATTCCAGCAACCAATCAAAAAAATGTAGGGAGGGGGCAACAAAAACTGCTGTTTTACACATATTATATTTATTCTCAAATAATTGATTTGCTTTAAATTAAATGATAAATGATAAATAAAGGAAATACAGGTAACACATGTACAAGAATTTATAAACAATAATTTGAGTAGGTGCAACTTTAAAGTATTGCAAATTTTAAAGTTGCTTACATTTTAAACAGCTCCATACAATTCAAAAAAATTAAACCAAAAAATATTGTATTCCATTGGTAAGTGTACAATATCTATGAAAACAAATAATCATGTTTAATTTTAAATATTCTTCAGAAACGGTTTAACATTATTTATATCAATTAACTAAAAATGTATAAACATACTGGGCTTGTGTGATTCACAACCAATCAGTAATTTAGACTAAGGATTTTAATATTTTCAATATATATAAAAAGATTAAATTTAGTTTGTTAAATTACATTATCCAATGCTTACGTTGTATTGCACCTGTTTGTCTCTTCAATGCTGAATATCGACATAAACAAAATTAATATAAGAGCACTGGTATACTGAAAGCAGGAATGTTAAAGCAAACATAAATATAAAGATATACCGTTTACATTTAAGATAATAAAAATTAGAAATAGAAAATATTTTTGTCGCCAATTAACTTGGTTGGCACCAACTATTCTTATTGTAGATGAGGAAACTTAAATTAGCTGAAAAACAGAAACAACTGAATTGTCCGTTCCACCAAGCCTAGCTCCTTGGATACTGATGCAAAAGTCCCACTAAACAACAGCGTAAATGATGCGAAAAACATGCAAGTTTGTGGGACATGTATTTCTGATTGGTCAGTTGTTTAGGTTTCAATACCAGCCAGAAAAAATATTATTTTCAATATATATCTCAAAAATACAATTTTTAATGGTATTAAATATACTTGACAGTTGTTTTTGTTTTTAGATTGTAACACAGACACAGTATATTTTTATCAGCAAATTGAAATGAAGTATTAACTTCCAACAAAATAACACACATATAATTTATATAATTACCTTCATGGCAAATTTGCTAAGCATACAGCATTATTCAAATAACTGCAATTCAAATCATTTTTTTAAATATTATTTACAACTCAGCACAATCTCATGTTTTTTTTCTTTAATACAATAAGTATTCAATTTTATAATAATTTTGTTTTCTTCTGTAATTTAATGCACATTTTTTTTTTTCTCAAGGCAACTCATGCAGCTGGTTGCAGCTTGCTTATAACAACATATATATTAAAGTAACACCAATTTAAATAAAAAATATACTTTGCAAGGGTAATGCAATTAATGTATGTGTATGCAAGGAAGTAATCATTAAATTTCATTTAATTATAAATACAATATAGTAATTAGTATATAATAGCTTGAAATTTCCACTATATTGATGGAAATAATATAAATTCTGTAAAATATCAACCTAATAAAAAATAAAAACTGGAAGCAATGTGAAGTCGTACTCAAATACAGGTCTTCCTCGAATTAAAGTCAATTTTTGGGACCGGGGTTCAGCTTTGGTCTCTAATTAGAATAATAAAGATAAAAGACAACTGTTAATTTGGGACCAAAGAGGTGGTTTTTATTTGGAGGGGTCTACAATTAGAGGGAGACCGGTATGTCAGATAAAAATTATTATTAAATAAACTTTAGAATCGCATAGATAAACACAGCGATAAATCGTAAATGACTTCTCAAAGGAAATATGTTGTATTTGTAATTGTTAAAATCGAGGTAACAATGCTGTACATTCATGGTTTAAACAACACAATAAAGGTGTGCAATTCGTTCCATGAATTCCATGACAGCCTGGCGTACAGTGTCGTTTTTCACGTGACAAACTAACTGGTTGATGGACGGGAAGACGATTGGCAAGATACTCTGAAACTGAGTGTCCGGAAGAAGCTGTAATAGTTGCATCATCGATAGAATCATGTCTGACCACGACTTCAACAAGGCATCGTGATCGCGCATTATTGATGACTTCTGTTCTTGCTTGATTTTCTCTTGTTTGCGTCTATCATCCGAGGTCATGCCCTCGATCTTTGGTTTCGATTGGTGAGTGTATTTCCATTCCTTGTAGGTTGGCTTTTTGACAAACACTGATCGCGAATGCTGAGTCTTTCTCTTTTTATATTCCTGCATAAGACTCTTGATTGTCTTCGTTGTAGCAACGGTATAGATCTTGCCAGACTCCTTCGGTGACGCTGGCTCGTCATTATTCTCTGCGTGAGCTTCATGCGACAATTCTTGCTCGTCACCATGTTTTATCTTTGGCGTCCACTGCGACATTGCAAAGTTTCTCTTTGGTTCATCATCGTAAGAATGGAAAAATGGATCACTCACTGAAGATGGTTCTGGAGATTTAGGTGCCACCAGAAAAAAGAGTGGCACCTCCTCTTCCTTGTTAGTGACTTCTGTATCTTTATCAGTATTGAATTGTAAGTATGATGCTATGATATCATTACATATACCATATAACCTCTTCACAACCCAATCATAGTCTGTCTTATCTTCACTTGGGAAGAAGCTTAAGTCACAGTTCATGTGCAAACTCTCCATGCTACTTTTAATGCTGGGACATGGATGCTGAGATGATTGTTCACTAGAGTTGGAAGCTGTGCTCCTGCTACGAGCTCTTAAAACAGGTTTCACCTCATCAGGCTCGTTTTTGACCTCAGGAACCTCTTCCGACGACTTTTCAGTGCCATCATTTTGCGGGATTACATCAGTACTTTCTATCTCCTGATAAGGAACATCACTGACATGTTTCAATCGATGAGACATGTCTTTAATAATAGCTTTCACTAGATCAGAGTTGAGGTTGGCTTTGTTGGCATGATGACAGAGCTCAAGAAGAGTGTGGCTGTAGAAGGTGAAACTCATACCAGCTTGGTAGTACATATTAACAGCAACATCAAGTTTGGCAACCTTCTGCAAAAGGAACTTCATCCCAGGACGATTGTTAAACTCGCATGCTGTTTGGTACGAATCAACAAAGCATTCCAGTAAGAGGGACAAGTTCTTGGGGGACAGGTATGGCAGGAGTCCGGGCAGGAAGCTCTCACCATTACTCGCACTGCCTGATCCATTGACAGAGTCGTGCAAGCCCAGAGTAGATGACATGCTTCCTTTGGCAATCACTTGTTGCTCATTTGAGGTCTGACTTTGGGCTCCGTAGAGAAGGATGGTACCGAGAGTTTGGATTAGCAGCTGATGTGCAAGGAGGCCTAGGACAATATTCCGATAATGAACCCTAAAAAAAATAAAAGAAACATATATTTACAGATATTATAACATGTCTTTGCACTTGCTTTGTCTATTATTTGTGTATTTAGATGTCTTACATAGCAAAACAAGGAGAAACTATCACATAAATGTATATTACATAAAATATTATTGCTAAATTCAAAGAACCCTCACACATAATAAATAATTTCTAGCTTAGTATAGATACCTTGTATGGATGAGGTCCAGCTTCATTGTGGTGTCTACATCGGGAGGATACAAGATGAAAATGAATGATCGACTTGCTTCTTCATTCACATCAAAGTTTGGAATTCGCTGACACTCAAGTAGAAATACCTGTCAAAGGTCAACAATGTTAATTAAATGAAAAAAAAATGTATGTAATATATTATTAGCAAATGGTTGTAATAGATAATATTAATATAAAAAAATATGTAATTTCAAACTAAATTTATGTAATAAAATATTGCACAAGTTTAGACTTATATTATACTTTATCATTATATAATGTTATATATATATATATATATTATATAATATATCTTATATATAGCTGTATTTATAAAATATGTGTATATTCATTATATATTTACAAACGTAGTTTAACTTATTTGAAATTTAACATAAATATCACTAAATTTATGTAAATGTACTAACTTTACATATGTAATAAAAAATACCTAAAGTGTATGTACTGTTGTATATATTGTCAAGTTCATGTGATACATAATAAAAATAATTTCTTTAAAATTACATACAAGGAAAAGCTAAGTATATGCAATATATAAATTATAACATAAATTTTGGTAACTTAAACATCTAATATACATGCTAATTATTAAATTTAAGTTCACATATTACTAATATTTTAACTCCATATTATATATTATTAGACTTGTCAAATGTAAAGAGAATTTGATTATCCAAATGTATATTACATTAATAGCAATATTTCTCAAGAGAATAATAGTTCAAACACAGCTACACTGGCATTTAAACATTTCTGTGAGCCCACTATTCACAATTTTTTAGATAATCACAAATATATATAAATATATATAGGATATGTAAATTTATATGTTCCATTTTTCTAGTAATATTCTAGTAAGTGTCCACGGTACAGTATATACAGAAATGTTTCCACATTTAATACACATATAAAATTTAATAAATATATGAACTATTATGTTTATTACATGTGCATATACTACCTGTATATGGTTACTGTACATACAGGTAACATTTTCATACTTAATAAACATATAAAATAAATATATACCTGTTGAGCTAAATGCTGTAGTCTGAAATAATCCATGGGCTTGATGTCTCGCCTAGCTGCCACCTTCACCTGCCCCACATCTCCCATGAAATCGTCCGAGCCCGGATGGAAGCACGCCATCAACCGCTTCAAACTGTGAAGACTCGTTTCTACCGCTTGTTGCATTCCTTTACAGGCAAACGTCCACATTTCGTGGGTCAAGATAGGGCCGGCACTTAATAACATGTGCCTTAAAGAAAGAAATTATTATTTGGAATTCATTTGCAATTTAATAGTATAATACAACAGGGTTCAAATTTTATTTATTCAGCTACTTTTTTTTATAAAACATTATTTATGGTATATTTCATTTAAATTATACCAAGAAATAATAAATAAACTGCAAACAACCCACATTCATTTTTTGATATTGAGCCCTTAACTATTAGATCCAACCCCTTATCAGGCTTTTAATGCTGGGGGTAAGGTCATGTAACTTAGGTACCCAAAGGAAGAGAGTTCCTCCTTGGTTTAAGCGTATAGTTATTTCAATGTTTATTTTTTATTCAGTACAATAACACGTCACATAAGGCAAAACATCACTCCATATTGTTATTATTTTATACTTTGTTCTTATTTACTCAAAATTTTTGATGAACACTGAATTTGCCTGTTACTATTATATTTGTGTTCGAAACTTAACAACCTGTTTTCATCATTGCATTCAAATTTAGTCATTCTATAGGCGATAGGGTATGACTGAGGTAGGATATTTTTAATGGAGAGTGACAGATAACATTCATACCTGATACATGAACAGCCAAGTCTGGAGACAGCCTCTGTGGTCTGTCCGATACACTCCACCAGCAGGTCAAGAAGTTGCTTAATCATTAAGTACACGCCGTCCAAACTGCTGTTGTTCTTCACAAAATGCGAAATCAGATCAACGATCAGGTCGGTTGTCAAGCCGCAGGCATGCTTGAAGTTGGCAATGCTGGTGTCCCAAAATGATGGCGCTTGTCGTCCACGTCTCACCCAGGATTGCAGCATTGGCAATAATAAATGGGACACCGAGTACACAGCAAATTGTGGGCCTAGAAAAAAAACAAAAAGCAATGACCATAACTCATCTTATTTAGTTCATAATGTGTTAAATATTTATTCTGGCATAAAAAAATGAAAAAGGTCTATTCATTTTTTATTACTGTCCTGTAAAGAAAAGATCTGTCCATGTCAAAAAGTCAGACATCGCCATCAATGAGATGTGAATCAAACACTTTCTAGCCTAATCATTCCTAAATACAATTACATTATTTTTTTTCAGTAAAGTGTATTTTAATACAGAGTTTTGTGTTGTATGATAAGATAAGATAAGATAAACTTTATTGTCACATTTACAATACAGTAATATGAAATTTGGTTACAAAATATACTAACATAAATAGTAAACAAGAATTAAATATTAAATTACTGTACATAGAACTATAAACTTTATACAATATGCACAGGTGAGGGGAAAGCCTTTAATTGATTTTTGAGTTGTATAAGTGGGCAGAATTATAAACAATGGACTTCATGCATCTGCTTTTTTTTTGTTTTTCATTTCATGTAGTAGATCGAATAACACTGAACTGATTGTTAAGAGTATGGGAGTGGTCTAGCAAAATCTTGCTTAAGTGGCTAATTGACTCTCTCAAAAATATCGAAAACTTTTATTAATGGTGCATCACATTTTCCTGATATAGATTGCAGACGTATTATGTTGATTATAATTATATGCTATTTATAGGATTTTTATAATGCTGTTGGGCCTAAGGGAGAATAATGTTTATTTCAAAACATAGATTTGGTTAAAAAATTATACCAAAAAACAACTTATGTATTTATGCTAAACTACAATTTTTTTAATACTAAGCAAGATAGTTAATATATATCTGAACATTAGAAGTACTGTAAATCTACTTATGTATTTATGCTAAACTACAATTTTTTTAATACTAAGCAAGATAGTTAATATATATCTGAACATTAGAAGTACTGTAAATCTACTTACATATTTATGCTAAACTACAATTTTTTTAATACTAGGCAAGATAGTTAATATATATCTGAACATTAGAAGTACTGTAAATCTACGTATTTATGCTAAACTACAATTTTTTTTAATACTAAGCAAGATAGTTAATATATATCTGAACATTAGAAGTACTGTAAATCTACTTATGTATTTATGCTAAACTACAATTTTTTTAATACTAGGCAAGATAGTTAATATATATCTGAACATTAGAAGTACTGTAAATTTCTCTCCACACGATCAAATTTTAAGTGAGAAACAAATGTGATGATATTTGGGTGTAATACACCATCATCATGCCCATATATAGGCATATCATAAAATTTCACAAATTAGAATTCAGATGCGAATTCCTCCTTTTCAGCTACATCATATGGAATGTTCAAAATTACAATGTCTGAGAAAACTGCTCCTCCTTCTTGATGGAAGACAAAATACAGTAAACGGATTGGATAAGGTCTTTTTTTAATAGTTTAATTTAATGTAACTTCTTCAAAATTCTAATGTTCTTTTGGAATTATCTTGTAATATTCTGTTACCATATTTGTTTTCTCAATCACTGACCTCAATTTTTGTGACATTTTTTTGTTAAATAATAATCAATACAGTAAAACCTTGTTTTTTCGTACTTCAGTTTTATGCACGCCTTGTATGGACGATGACATCATCAAAAACTTCAAAATACTTAAAACAAACAGTTGTAGCATCGTTCGTTCCATACTATACTGTAAGTTTATTGGGTCTTACATAGGTATTAGCTCAAAGATCACCACAAATTCAACCCAACCTTGATTTTACGAATCCTAAGATTTACGTACGCCCACTAGTGTTGTACCATATGTAAAATCGAGGTTCTACTGTACCTTAAATTACTTTTGTTTTGACCAATATATAAACATTGTGTTTGATTTCATTATATTTGACTTAAATTGCAATATTTACTAACTGGTAAAAAAAAAATCATCTCATGAAGTGACAGCATTTGTTTTAACACTCTACAGAATCACAATCTCATAATATGCTATATATATTATATTACTTTTCATGAGGTACTTGTCATGTTTTTCTCAAAGTCAGAAGTACATAAATGTCATCCTTGTTACAAATAAATGGTCTCAAATGCAGTCATCTGGAAAACATATTTGCATTCTTGTAGTATTTTGGGAAGAAATGTAAACTTACGACACTAATAAAATCAACAGAGACTCGTGTTACATGAAAGCGACGATAAATATTGCAAATACTAAAAAAAAAACATCGTAAACAGCTTAACAGTTGAGATCCCTAGGCTTAGCTCTAATATATTCAATGACACAGTATGGATACCTGACAACAGCCAGGTTTCACTTCATGAACTCCTAATAAATCATTTAGTATTTAAACTTTGTGGTAAAGTGTCATAAAAAAAGTAATTTTGATCAATTACGATGGTACAGAGATAAACAACTTGTAACAAAAAAGATTTGTACATCACACAAAAATAGTAAGCGCTGCAATAGCACAGTCAGTAAAACTGGAGGTAACTACTGAGTGTGCGCTGAACCGTGGAGATATCTTGGTCCCCGGTTAAATTCTCATTGCTGCTCTCCTTGTAATTCAGCTGGAGGGCTGAAATGCAAGTTACGATAGCGCACCATCTTTCGGATTAGATATTTAATGGCCCATGTGCATGTTAAAGGGTACACTCTTCGGAAAAGAGTAGAAGATTGTCTCTAGATGTACTACCGAATCACCAACAGAAAGACCACATTGGAAATAAGTCTTCTTCAGACTTTCGTGGGTTATCCTTGATGTTTGCACCGAATAAATCCAAGTCCAATCCAATACAATGAAATATAACTGGTATACTTGTGAGAAGTTGGAAAGTCAAATTTTCCTTAAAGTATTGTTTTCTACACAATGAACTGATAATAATAAATAATAATGAAATTTATAATAAGCCATTAATCATTTACCTGGTGTTTGATTGACAGACCTGATGATCTCAAAGAGAAGTTCAAGAGTCTGGGGCTGATAATGTCTTGGACACGTCGTAACAGAACCGGTCAAACCTTCCAACAGAAGAAACCACACACGAATAATGCCGCTATCATCATCGATGCTCTCGACACAGACTGGTTTCAGAAGATCAAGCTCTTCTGGTGAGTACATAACCTTGGAATCAATAACCACAAAGGTCTCGCTGGAACCAAGTTCCTGGATCGGAGATTCCGACGGCGGGCTCAACCCCTTCGTGCTCATCTTGATTGACTGTGATCCACGGAAGGATGGTGATGTTGGCATGTTGTAGATTGAACTAAGTATCTTATGGCACCTGTGGAGGTAGTCCAGAGAAGGTAGGCAGAGGTCGACAGCCTGGAGAGTAGTGCCAACGCTGTAACTGGATGTATTACTGTTTACCTCTGGTTCAACTGTCAAAGATAAAAATGTATACATTTTGTAAATATAGGTCTCCCTCCAATGAAAGACCCCTCCAATTAAGGACCACTTCCAATTAAAGATCACTATTCTGGGGTCCCAAATTTAAAAAATTCTTTTATCTTATCTTCTATTCTAATGAGAGACCAAATCTGCTAAAGATTATGGAAACCCCAGTCCCAAAAGTGGTCTTTAATTGGAGGGAGACCTGTATGCAGAATCTATTATTTCAGATTTCTCCTTTGTATTTTATGTACAGCTTCATCTTAATATGTTTTTTATCAAATCAAATTTTTACTTCCCATTATAGATAGACCCACTCGCATAACTAAAACCTCTGCCTCTTTAATTGATCATATATATATTGTAACTCTCCTGATCATATTTTCTTTTTTTTTCCTTTTTTTTTTTGTGGTGACAGCTGACATATATATTTTTTGTTTTTTTTTATTCATCTCATTTATTTATTTCATAATGGTCAAAGTTACATTTACAATGAAAAAAACAGATGCATACAATTATTAACTTTGTAAACAAAAACAATAGTTGAGTAATCAAATAGACCATTAAATGGGATCAAAACTAGAAGACAAACATGTCTCATAATTACCCTAACATATAATAATAATAATAATAATAATAATAATAATAATAATAATAATAATAATAATAACAATAATAACAATAATAATATTAATAATAATAATAATAATAATATGTACCAGTAGATAGATAAAAATCATACTAATGTGTAAATACAACTGATGAGGATAAAAATATTAATGACAATTATGATGAATATTTTGAGGATGATGATGATGATAAAAAGAAAATAACAAATATGACTACAGTATTACAGTGATGTCAATGATGATGATGATGATGATGACAATTTTGATACAGGAAAATTATGATAATGACAACAATGATGTTGATGATGACTAGGGTTGGTAATGATGGAAACAATGATGATAATGATAAAGATATAAATCAATCAAAAATTTATGTTACAAATCTAAATTTCCACATTGGTTGTTTGAAACAATATTTCATCCAACTTTACCAACACATACATTATTGTGCCATCACATTGTTATATATCCAACTATGTCCGGTGAATATCATTCCATATTGCATAAAATATTTGTTGGGTGTTCAATAACTTGTTTCCGTACTTTGTGAATGCCATGTGCAGTGACTATAAACTGATTGACTGATGAATTCACAATTTTCCAACTCATGGAAGAAATTTTGATGGATTTTCATTCTCAGCAGATCAGAGAAAAAAAAAGTAAAATTTGCACATGGATTATACAAAGATACGAACACTGACCAAGAAGTTACACAAAAGTGTTTGTGAGCGTTGGTGCATTAGCGTGATGGATGCTAATGCACGTCCATCTGCTTGCTTCTGTAATGCGTGGGTTATAGTTTCATGTTAAATAATTCTTCGGAAACATTTGAACATAGGCTTGATCCATTCTGGCCTAGGGTTGATGTGTCATATCCTTGGGATTTAGTTTGTGGTCTACAAAGGTGGTGAAACAAGGAGTTCTAGTTATTCTAATTGATCGATTTGCCAGTCAGTTGTTTGATTGATCCACCAAGTGATTAACCAATTGATTGATTTTTTTATTGTTCAATCGATTGATTGATTGATTAACAGATTGGTTGAGTGATCTACTGACTGATTGACTAATTGACTGATTATATGATTGATCAATTTATTGATTGATAGATTGATTAATTAATTGATTGATTGGTCAGACTTGGTTGATTGATTGATTTATTGATTGATTGACAGATTGGTTGAGTGATCTACTGACTGATTGACTAATTGAATTATTTGATTGATCAACTGATTGATTGATTGATTGAACCACTGACTGATTGACCAATTGACTGATTATTTGACTGGTCAGTCAGTTTGTTGAGTGATCAATTTATTATTTGATTGATCAATTGATTGATTAATTGATTAATTGGTCAGTCAGTTGGTTGGTTGGTTGATTGATTGATCAACTGACTGATTGACTAATTATTTTATTGATCAATTGATTAATTGGTTTTAAAATGTGATTAGTGAATTGACAATGTCATTACCATATGTACTTTATGCTGTTTCCCAAATGCATTGTGTAGGATTAGAAGTTAATTATTAATAATAATAATAATGGTCAACTTTACAGAGCACATATTGTAGAGATCTCTACGCAATTATTATTAGCTTCTTTCTGTTGTGTTTGGATTTAGTGTGTGAGCATGAAGTAAATTATAATTTTCCATTCACCTGTGACTAAGGCGTGATTAGTATCATAAATGCATAAAACGTTGCGCAATATCATGCAATCAACAAAATTTCTCCAGATGGAGCAATTTTTGCAAAAAAAGCACATTTGACTTTCTTCAAATGTTCACAACTATTGAACTTATCCAAGAAGTTTTGGGTCTTCCTTATTGTGAGATCATTATCAGTAACCTATAGTTAAATTAGTTATACCATTATTGTTAGAGGACACAAATGATATTTTAATGTGTTTTTTGCATTAGGAAAAAACACATCGAAATAGCATCGCAGTATCCACTGCTACTTGGGGATCAGGTTTAACACTAGTCACTAAGCGCAAGCTCAGTGGTCTAACCTGACCAGGTTAGTTATCTGCAGGTTGTGGGTTTGATTCCTAACCAATTTTCATCGCAAGTATTTGGGATCGTACTGAGCATTCAGTACGATAACACGTCAGGTAGGCAAAACATCACTCCTATGACACAAATGATAAGCACATTTAAGGTTATTTTATGATGATAAGTGTTTAAGTATTTTAAATTAAAAACTACCACCAATGGTTTAAATAAATAATCATGGTAAATTGTAGAAGTGAGAAAACTTAACTGAATAATGAGAAAATTAACCCCCCACCCCACCTTTTATATTCTCGTATATTATTAACATGGCTTGATTCTAGCAAAAACAACCAAATGGTAAGCAGTGTATCTTGGATTTGTACCTCAATGAGAACAATTAATTTTTCTCAAAAAGTTTGATAGAGTCTGTCAAACTTAGTTGAAGCTTAGAAAATGTTGCATTGAAACATAATTACAGTATATTAAAATTATTGATTTTCTCTACACACATTTTTTTGCAATTTTGTCTGGGATTGGTGGAAACATGTCATATAAATTTACATTTCCAACACTAGCAATACAACAGTTTAAGAATAAATCCAAATATAGGTTGTTGAACTGATTATTGAGAATATGCCAGTGACCACGGAATGATTCATGTTTATCATGTGCTGGCAAATCCCAGCTTAAGCATTGGATAAAAATGGAAAGCAAGAAGCAATATAAGCTATATATCATCCCTAATACTTCCAAGACTTCAAACAAAAAAAACAAAAAACAAACTGTGTAAATAATACATGGTGCTGCAAACATACTAAAATACGATTCACGCCATTGATTGTTTTTCTCAGAAAAATTAGATCGTTTGGTGTTGACAGCAACATTTTGTTTTTTGTTGTTTAGGAGTGTAATTGTAAGTGTACTAATGAATGATTTCATTGTTTGGTTTGAGAACTTGTCGGTATGTAACAAAACAAGATGTTAAAAGTAATGAAACAAGCACACAAGGTAATTAAAATGGATGTAGGTAACCTGAATGACTTTCATTACAAGACTGTACTCAGTAAACTAGATGTAAGAATCAAAGATGCATCACATCGAATGAATTATGTATATATTGCTAACATTAACAAATCTGGCAGACTCCGTCAAAATTAATAACAGTTCCACCAGAAATTCTTTTATCAATAACTTGGCCTTTCTTTTTAACAGCGAATTTAAGAGATAAAGTTATTTATTTATTTAGATTATGTATTTGGTGTTTCTAACTTTTTAAACTTTTACCGTAACCTTGTACTTATAGTGCAATTTGTATTTTTTATATTTTGTATGTCTTCTCTATGTACAATATTTATTATGCAAATGGGACAAAATTTTGTGTGTATCTTGTTATACGTTACAACAATAAAGTTGCTTCTATCTTGTATTGTGTAGTTTGTTGGCATAGTGGTTACAGTTGCAGACTTTAAACCTTGAAGTCTGGGGTTCAAATCCAATTCTGCTGATGATTGTGTTCGTCTGGCAAAGAACTTTGTATACATTTGTCTCTATCTCTATACCACAGGGTCTAAATGGGTACCTGCTAAGATTTAAGTGTTCAACAAACCGCAATACCATGACATGCCATGCATGCATTTCAATACACAATTCCTCACATAAAATAATTAAGTGCAACACTGCCCTCAAGAGTGCAATACCAAATAGACCTAGATACTCCTTTCACCTCAACAAGTTGTCCATGTACTGTATTCAATATCGGATTTAAATTATAAATGAACAATTATATTACAAACCTATCTATTATTTAATTTATGTGTCAATAACCCCCATGCGGGCAAGCAGACTCTTTCCTATCATCTCTATATTTGCAAGAGTAAATCCGGTTGGAAGAATGATGAAATATCCTTCGTTGCGTTATAAGCTAAAGCTAGAAATTAACAGTCTTTCTTTCTTGTGAGTTTGAAGAGTCATGCAGCTGGCTCTATATAGTAAATCTATAAAATATAATGCCATGTCTACACCTGTGCTAGAAAGAACCAAAATAATGTGCCTACCGCCGCCGACTGTAAGTTAAAATTAGCCAAAAAAAAAAAAAAATATCAAGTGGCAGACGCATTCTCCCACTAGTAGCCTATTTTTCTATTGATTATTGAAGTGATCCTCTAAAAATATACAACCTAATTTGTTTTAAATGAATATCCTAAATAATAGGGAGTTTTCACTCCACGACGTTAAACTTAATGCTAACGGATGACGTCATAATTTATCCATCTTGCGTTGCGAAGTATGTTAATTTCGGGATTTTACGTGCTCGACGGACGTTAGTTACTGGGTTGCGTATGCGTATTTCGATTTGTTTACAAAAGGGGCGGAGTTATCGCGTTACAAGTTGGGTACTAACGTTAAAGTTAAGGTTAGTGTCGTGCGGCAAAAACTACCTATATATTTAGCTCACATCTAGCCTACATGGTATTTGTAAGCATGAGCATCAAGCCATATACAACATGAAGTATGTGTCACCCTCCTGGATATGAGGGTAACTTCCACATCATATGACAAACAGGTCATAATGAATGAACTTCAGGTCATATGAATGACCTATAGGTCATATGAGTAATATTCAGGTCATATTTGGCAGCTATCATTTTTAAAAAATTGTTCCGGATCGTTGCATTATTTCATAATGTGCAACAATTCACCTGATATTGCTTTGCAACAAGGTTGACAGAAGACAAAAGTTAGTGAGATATTAAAGTTAATGAACCGGATTTCACCAGCCAGAACCAAGAACCAGCCCCACAGTATATTACCTGTATCCACAAAAACAGAGTCTTCTGGATCTTTACTGGTTAAGGGTTTTACAACAGCATACATTACTGTACCTAAGATGGCAGTACAGATGAAAGGCAAAAAAATATATGGATGGTATTTCATGCATTATAATATGGATGCAGTTACAAATAGACATACAAATATAGAGAATTGATAAAGAAGGTAGAAACAGAAGAAATCATTGTTCACATCAACTAACACGATTGAAGTAGATTGCGTTAGTTCGTGAAGACAAAAAAGCACGTCAAAGTAAGCATGTACTGATTGTCGAGCAATTAATTTTGTATTCTTTTATCATACAAAAAACCTGTATTTTTAAAGGCTTTTTCGTTTTCATGAACTAACAAAATCTACTTTCATTGTGTTGGCTTATGATGTGAGCGACGAAATATACAAATTATTTAAACAGTAATTAGTGATGGGTGGCACAACAAATATAAATGAAAAATATACTTTTACTATATTGTATTTTTATACATGCATCAGAAAGTAAATTCACCACACTCCTAAGTCCAATGGAGACTTGCGGGGTGAAGATTTAATATCATCGGAAAATATTCCATAATTTCACATGCTTTTAGCAAAGCATTAAACACCAAGATACAAATATTACCAAAGATTACCATAAAAATAACAAACACATTGGTATACACATAGCCAAAATGAAATATATTGCGTACAACGTCATTACATCACGGTAAAATGTAATACTGTTTTCTTGCCAAGCAGTATATACAGCTGAGTGTCTCCCTATCTGAAGAACTGTACAGACTATCAAATTTTATTTGACAAAAACATGTGACATGCCCAAATATGGTCATGATGAAATCACATCAGGACCATATATAGGCACATCATGACTATATATGGGCATACAACAGTTTTTTGTCAAAGAAAAACAAATTATAATCTGGACAGAGTTTAAGCCATATTTTTGATAGCTTTTAAACTGATTTTTATCATATCTGATTAAAAAAAAACATAATAAAAAAATAGAAGCTAACCATATATTAGTTATTTGATGTATATAAAAATTAAACAAAATAAGATGATGATGTGTTATAATACATCGGTTGAAAAGCTATTAAAATTTGGCTTAACAGTGGAACCACTCAGCCATATCGAGTGCTGCTTTAGTAACAAAGGAGTGTGATGTCAGCGACTTAATACTCTATAGTACGCAAGACGAGTGATCACTGAAAAATTATTCTTATTACTTTTTAAAATATTTTTTTGAGGGTAAGTAAATGAGACCATGATCCTCTACCCCTACCCTCTATTAACCAAGCCTCTTTATGAAGACTGGGAAACAAAGTTGTTTTTTTTTTGTTTTCAAAAAACATGTGAATATTACCAGGATTTGTACACAGGACTTTGTGGTGTAAAGATGAGCATCATAACCACTAAGCCACAGACAAATTACAATTGAATTATCGGTAAATTGTGCACATACCTGGTCCTTTGACAAACTTGAGAAGACACAGTATACAGTCGATAGCTGCATTTGAAAACACAGCAACATTTTCCGTGTTCAAGAAAGCCTCAAAGACGTCAAAAACAGGGGCTGAGGGATGTTCAGTTCTTTCGCTAGAGTCCCCGTAGCCGGTGTCGTCCATATTCTCAAACTTCTGTCGATGGACACGGACGGCACGCAAAGTCCCAAATAGAGGGCGCCATCCAGATTTGATGTTGGTGTATGATTCTTCCACTATTTCACATATTGATGTTACAACCTGTAAATAATAAACCCTATTATTTTCTCAAGTTTGAATTATGCAAATCAGTGAGTCTATAGTGAGATGCTCATCTGGGTAAAACCAACAAAATGCCACTAAAATGAGGCAGGTCTATTATTTTATAGATATTTTGATTACAAAAACATTTGCATTTGTCGGCTTATTATATCAGGCAAGACTTTTTTATACCTTCTGCCAAAATAATCTGGGCGAAGGAGAAAATAAAAATTTTATAAAATTAAATAAAATAAAATTTAAAAAATTAAATTTAAACAGTGTAGTCCTGAGATAGATAAATGCTTTAATTTAAAAAATTAAGAAAAGAGATTTCAGGGGAACAGAGGGTGTAATAAAAACAAATATAACATTTTAATTTTTTATATGCATTTTTTCGTAGCGGAGAATCAAAATCAACAATATTCGCAGTCAGTGGGTTTACTAAACAAGGTATAAAAAAATTCTTGCCTAGGAACAGAAATAGATTATTTAATTAAAACCTACAAGAATTACATTTATAGCCTTGCAATAACAGCGTCTCTTAAATGTGACATGTTATCAAGAAATCGAGATGAAGTTGATTAGTAGGTAAATTATTTATTCATAAATAATTGATTAACTTTCACCTGATCTTGAACGTCTTCATCGCAAAGTTCAAGTCGTAGCAAGCTCTCAAATGGTTTGAAGAGTGACTCATTGAAGTTAAAATGCGGCAGCTCTGATTTGTCAGTTAGAAGCTCTGTCAGAACATCGTGGATGGAAGCTATGGCCTTCTTGGAAACATGACGATCTTTATGGCAAGCAACCTAGGAAAAAAGATGGTTTGTAGAATTAGAATTTCTATGGCAGGCATACAACCAAGGGGGATTTCTACGGCACAGCTAAGCCTCTTTTCAGGTAATTAACCCCTCTAATAAAACAAATCACCTCCTCCCATCTTGCATCCAACACCATCAAAATGATAATAAAATTCACAATTTAGGCTTCACCTTCCTAATATTAGTGTTTACTTTGTAAATTTTCCTACCTCTACAAAATGTGGTGCCACTATGTTCCAAGCCTGCATGACGTGTAGCAGTGGCCTGCTTCTGCTTCTGCTACATCGTAGCATAACATCAGCCATTTTAAAAAGGTGTAGCGAGGTACTGGAATAGCCTGTAGTCTGTAGTGATTTACTTGGTGAAGTCGGACTAATGATTGAGAACTCGTCATCTTTCGCTGTGCTGCTGAATAACTGAAGCTGGGAAGCTGCTCGTAGTTCTCGTAAAAACCCAAGTAGAGCTTTCAGATTCAAATTTGCAGCAGCTTCTTCAAAAAGCCTGAGAAAGAAAATAATGGTTCTATGTTAGTAGAAGAAAAAGTTGATGATAATAATGATAACAATACTGTACAATGAAAGTGCAAATGAAAAGCACATGTAACAGCAGAAATGGAAGTAATTTTTGATGATATGAAAAGGGAAGGAATGGATATAGTAAGAGAAAAGAAGAAAATGGTTGATGATGATGATGATGCTGAAAATATTGATGAGGTAGATGAGAAAAAATATGATGATGAAAATAAATGAAGATGAATAATATTGGTGAAGCAGAGAAATATATTGAAGAGAATAATGTCAATGCAGAGGACGAGGTGAAAAATTATTGATGCAGCAGATAGGATGCTAAAGAATTATGATGATGCAAAAGATAAACTGTAGAAAAAAAACGATAAATTCCAGGCAGACGAGGGGGCTGAAAAAATTATTAATAATGAATACAATGAGTTGAAAGAGAATGATGATTGATGTTGATGAGACAAACTGATGAAAGATAATGATGATGGTGATGATGCAGAAGAGGAGAATAACATGCACAACTTGACTAAAGGGAGTTATGATATTGAGGAAAATGTTAATTGTGGTGAAAGAAATTCCCTTACCTGTCCACATCCGATGATAGGGCGTACACTGCCTTAGCAGCATTAGAAACAGTCAGAATACCGCCTCTAGCCGAGTTCATCTCGAAACCAGATTCCTGGCTGTTTTGCTGGATAATATCTTGGACGTTGACAGGTGCCCTCATCGGAGGAGGAACTGCCATCTGGGAGTACGGTGTCATGAGATCATCGTCGTCGTAGCCGTCATGGTGTTCCTGATGGTCAGATAACTTTGGCAAACTTATTGAGGGTTGATGACTACTATTCCTGCTGAAGTGAGAGTGCTCCAACTGGGCTACATATGCACAGCATCTGTCAAGGTACAAAAAAAAAATTGTACAATTATTATGCAACTTTTTTTTATACTGAAAACAATATATATTATCGTCTGACTGTACACAATCTGACTGTCTCATACAGTGAAGCATGCCTAAATCTAACACACATGAAAAAAACACATGATTAATGTGACATCAGATATGTCTAACACAATAATAAAATATCATACTTAATCTGATGAAACATTATCTGATTAGTCTGGCAAATACAAATTTGCATAGCTCTATTTCCTGGTACCTCCATGATAGAGAACAATATACTTTACTTTCTCTTATTTATGGAATCTTCTCTTTCTTACTTCCATTTTTTGACCCAGGAAACTTAATGTTAACTTTAAATAAGCAAAATTTTCCAATTTTTAACTTCATTCTAAATTTTACTACATACAATGATTCTATACAAATTAGTTCTATAATCTTTCATGACCAACAATATTATAGAGGGCATGCTTCATCTTCAAATAACACTAGCTTCTCTTAAGTTTCTCAACAATATTATTAATTACACACCTGAACACATGCTTCCAACATGAAGCTGCATGGCTGCCCATCTCCAGGCCCATTGATAGAAGGGCATCCATGTTCATGACATGTGCAGCGTGTAGCCTGATTCCACCTTTATTAGAGTTCTTACGAGCCCCTTTCTTGCCTTGTTCACCCGTGGGCTGAGGAACATCCTCACTAACACAGGAGGCATTGGCAAGATGCGCAAAAACTGCAGCACACCTATCCTGAAGACCTAAATGAAAATAATAACGTAAAAAATTAATATTTACTTGTAATATATAATAGTGCTTTAATTGATGTATATTAAGTATCAGTTCTCATAGAGGATTCTCATTCTTTCATAGCTCTGCTAGCCCACATTTTTACAAATTTTAGTGTTACATTTTAAAATTTGATATACTTGATTTTATATCTCGGTATCTGTGCAATTCGGGATCGGCTGCTATCAGAGGTGCGATTTGTTCACCTGTTGGCCTTTTCCCGTCACCAGCAACCTTTTATGTCTTTGATATTTTACTGTATATCTGCCTGTTTGAAGTTAAATAAATTAAAAAAATAAAATAAATAAAAATGAAAGTTAATTCATATGTGATCCTATTGAATGAATAATTTATTGTTTTAATTAACTATTATGCTTTTATTCCACACTAACACAGAGAGAAAGATATTAAGTTTGAAAAATAAATATTAAATGTATTTTAATATAAAATATTTCAAAACAGTGGAAATGCTATCTTGATTCCAATATCCTGTATCTGCCAATATGCAGTAAAAACTTGCATTTGGAATGAGTAAATAAAATCTATACCTAATAAGCAACTGAGTCCGGCTGCTTTGCGAAGCGCATCCAAACTCATACAGATGGAATCTCGATCACGAGAGTTCTGTTCCTTAGCGCCCTCAGTCCCTAGTAGGAATGCTATGCTTCCAATACCAGTGATGCCACGCATTGTAAGAGGAGCCGCTAGGACTGTAAGTATCTGATCCCACATGGTTACTAAAACTCCACGAGTAAATTTCATCCCTGAAAAAGAAAATGGTTATAAGATCAGATAAAGTTTGCCACTATAATTGCTTTGAGATGTACTATAATTTCTGGTAAAAAGGCACTTACAAGTTTGCAGAGTTTATTTATAGGATATACATAGAATGTGACTTGCCACAAAATGTTACCAACCTTCGCTGTGAATTTCGTTTGATCTTGAGCAAGGCACTTTACTTACGTTTCCATCTCTCCACCCAGGAGTAAAAATTGGTAACTGATGGCTTGGCATTGAACATACTAGTCTGTATCCACATTAAATTGCATGCACGACTAAGAATACTTTCCAAAGAAGTGGAGGAGGTTGCACTTTGTGCTGGTTTGCTAATTATGGATCCGATGATTAGGGGTAATTTATTTATTTATTTATTTATTCTTTATACTGGGTTACCTCTTCAGTAAAAAGTTACTGTTCTCCCAGGGGGTCCAGTACACATAAAACATTAAAATCTCAAGAAAAACAACACAGAACATAAAAAAAAAACAAACACGAATTAAGTAAAAAATTACCTACCCCCCCGCATTCCAAATTCGAGAACCCTTAAAAGTAAAACTTCTTCTACCGGATTCAGTTCTGACATTAGGCAAAATTAAATAACAACAACATTGCCAGTGCAGAACCTTGTATCCACTGGCAAAAGGCATGGTACAAATTACAGGAAAATACAATTGTGTTTGCAAATGTGGAAATACCATTATAATATATATTTTTCCTTAAATATATCTAATTGTGTAGCAAAAATGTTATCATCATTTCATAAAGCATTAATTCTTACTTACCTGCTTCTGAAGCCTGGTCAGGGCTGTTGGACACAATATGTAAAACTACTTTGCTTGGTGATGTTGCATCATGCATCATCTGACCTCCGATCTCACGACTAGTCAATCCATCAATTTCTGTAAAACAATCATATACACAACCAATGACAATATGGACTACATTGAACAGTTAAAACCTAGGCAGATTGGTAAAATTTTGCAATAATAATAAAAATTGTTTATTTATTTTCAAAACTTAGTTTAAAGCTTAGTTAGTTGATAAAGGTTTTCATAAATAATAATAAAAATCACTTATTTATTTTCAAATCTTAGTTTAAAGCTAAGTATGTTGATGAAGGTTTGCTTAAATAATAATGAAAATTATTTATTTATTTTACCGAAGTGTTTATACAATGCTGTGTGGCATTGATTTAACTAAACACCTAGGCTAGTCTGATGCCTAAAAAGAGAATAACAGCATAGTCCATTGTATGCGAATTGACTCAGATTTTTAACCATTTATATTAACATTTTAAATTTGTGTAACATTTGTAAAAATTCTCCAGCTGATGAGAGCAGCTAGAGATAGTAAAATCTAAAAAAAATAATCAGTCAATAAAGGCGCAAGGTGTTTATTATTTGTATCATGAAAATTTAAGTATCGTAAAAATTACCATTGTGCTACATAGTTCTTTCAAATGATCATAATAATAAAAGCAGTGTAATTACCTGTGAGGAGTGTAATAAGAGCCTTGTTGCACTGCACCAATTCAGGTTTGTAGCCTGCTAAGCCTAGCACATTCTTCTTAAGCAGCTGATTGTACAGCTCCCCAAGCCATGTTGATGATAAATAGATCAGTATTCCACTGTCATGCACCTTGTTTACAAATTGTTGCTGAAAAATCATACACAGTTATTTTAATAAATAATATAATATTAATATTATATTGAATATTGACTCTTAAAAGAGTCAATATTCCATAAATATAATAATAATAATGGTCACCTTATACTAATAGAGCATATATTGTAGAGATCTCTATGCACTTAGCATTAGTCATTGGATCAAGCACATACATACTCAGGTCACTGGGGAGTATTCCATAATGTTACAGCTGTAATCAGCGCATTTTGTGTATGAACCTACCAGGTAACCCTGGGTGGAGAGACACGACCATAGGTAAAGTGCCTTGACTAAAGACACAAGCGAAATACACAGAAAAAGATTGAACCTCCAACCTCAAGGCTGAGAAGCAGAACCACAACCGATCCTACTAACATACTAAGTGAGCAATTCAATTTCTTAAATCATGTATTACTTAAACATCTGTTAATTGGCAAGAAAATAGCTTCCACATTCAGTAATTAATAAATTCACTGCTTATATGTTACTATGGTGATAGCCATGGGTCCCAAGTTGAAAGAAATTCATTTCGGGAGATCTGGTTAAACAAGCCTTCTTATAACGTATGTGACCCAAGCTCACAAATGGGCTGTAAACTCGCACTGCACTGTATTGAGAAACAAGCCTCAATACCCAGAATAGGGCGTAGAACGTGAATTTTGTGTGAATTTGGTTTTTGTGAAATAAATAAAGTATAACTGTTAATCTTACTATTCCTGAAGTTTGAGTTTAAAATTCCAACTCTATTAGAGGTAAAATTTAGCCATTTTCGGATGGGAGCTAATGGAAAATGAATAGAAACCTGCCAAAAATAAAAGCATTTTTCTCAAAACTTGATTTAAGAAAGTTTATAAGATGACAATAATTCAAACGGTCATAACTTTGCTTCCAGACACCCGATTGAGTTCATTTAATTGTCATTTTAAAGTAAATGATATGTTATATGCCATTATAACAAAAACTCATTTTGGCCTGAGGACGAGTTTACAGCCTGCTTGTGAGCTTGGGTCACATATTTCATTTTATCTTGCCCATGGTGATACACATCAGCACTGATTTCTGTGAGACAATTGATAATTAGTTTAAATATTATTTGGGTTATGGGTTATTTTTCCAGATGGGTAATATTTTCCAAGAGATTCTTGCTTACTTGAGTGCGGGAAATAGGGCAATCTAGGTTTCTGGGAGACCTCCGCGTCTTCCTGGAAACTCCCACGACATTCTGAAGACTTGGTACCCCTGAATAGCTACCCCAGAATAGCTATGGTGCAGGAGATTATATGCTCACCATTACAATGTACTGGTACTATCTGATAGTATATATTATTAGTACTGACTAAAAAACAGGTGATAAATTTTCCATCACCTACCTTATTCATAGGTAGCTTGCACTCTTCACTCCCATAATGCCCACTCTTTAGCAACTTCAGATTCAGCAATAGAGCATAATATGTGGCTACGTATATACCATCAGCATTGATGACTGGGGTGAGGTTCAGCTTCTTGGTTGGGGATGAGTTGTTGCTACCTTTCTCTTGTACTGACTGCTGTCTCTTCGCAGTATAATCTGCAGGTTAAAGATAATAAGTTAGTAAACAATGTTACAGATGTCAAAATCAGTGGTGGCTCCAGAAATTTACTAACAGGGGGTCTGAAATGGGGCCAACTAAGAACCTTGGTCTGGGTCCCGGAATTAAAATCCCTAGTAGAGCCCACAGGGAGAGTTTTTATGGCTTAGTACAGCCCAAATTGTGTTTTCGGACCATAATATACAAGGGATTGGCAATCAAAATAACATTATTTGAATAGCCAAATTATTACTTTTGGTTTGACAACCTCGTCGTGGAGTCGGTTGATGGGGATCATCCAGACCTGTCTGGGGAGGGGAGAATACCCTCCCTCCCACTGGCACCACCACTGGTAAAATTACTCACACATTTAGATAACTAACCTATCTTTTTTCTAAATTCCTTTAACTTTAATGGGGAATACATAGCAAAAAACATCCTTGTAAACTTGAATGAATCAAGAGGAAAAGATCAGGATGGAATGTCACAAGACATGTTGACAGAGAAAGCATATTTGATGGAATGAAGACTGATGAGAAATGTCCTTGGCCAGGTGGGATGAGTGATATATATTGAAGATGGAGATGAAAATTGACAGATGATTGTTTTTTCATCCCGGTTCTTACGCAACCTCAAGAGACATCACTTTCAATCTGGATTCAGATATATGGGATCCAGAAAATACAGGTGCAACCCTCTTCAGGATTGAATCAATGTGTCTACCTGAAAAAAAGAGAAACAGAATTGTAAAAATATTTGAGATGCTTACTTCCAACAAATGTGGAGGCGAATTCCAGCAGCATTTCGTCCACCACCTTAGGATCGCCTTCTGCAATAATTGATGGAAGCAACTTAATCAAAGCTTCTATGTACTGCCTGGCACCATTCCTTTCCTCTTCTTCATTCCTCTCTGCCAACCTCTCCATCTCTTGTCTTCTTTTTAGCTGCCTTTCATCAAGCTCTGTGAGCTTTGGTTCATCTATAACATCCTCATCATCATCCTCATCTTCATCATCCGCATCGTCACCATCAGTCAGGCCATTGAGCTCTTCCTCCTGTTCACTAGATTTCACATTCTCAATATTATCCTCATCATCAAGGTAAACACTTTCCACAATTTCTGTTGAATCTTTGACAGGGCTTTCGGTGATGTCATTTGGTACATCTCCATGATCCTTTTTTTCATCCAGTATAACTTTTTCTATATGCTCATTTGATTCATCCCCAACATGGTTGCTTTCTTCCTTCTCCTCTTTTTTCTGTCCATCATCCTCAACAACCAACCAGGTATCACTTGGTTTACCAGGTTTGTCAATCTTCTGACCTGCCATTTCAACACACATGAACTCTTTACCAGGCTCTTTGCTTTCTTTTGCACTTTCACTCTGCCTGACTATCTCAATGATCTTTGGAGTTGGTTCTGTAGAGGGTGCCCTTTCAATGACAATCTCCTTCATTTTATTAATCTCCTCAATCTGGTACTTGCTTAAATGCTTTCCTTGAGATATCTCCTCAAGAGATGTTAAAAATCCTAGAACACAGACAACTCCCGAGTGGCACACAGCACTGTCTTTACAATGACTGGAGTCTGCAACACCATCCAGTAACCTGCAGAAAAAAAAGAGAGGAATTTTACAACCGGCCAACACTCACAATTTAAATTCCAAAATTAGTGTATCAAAGATTTTTTCTTTCTCTTTTCATGTAAATGGATGTTTACTACGAAAGTTACCATATTCTAATGTATTCTAACTTACAATTTAAGTAAGTCTAAGTCTGGATTTCTTTCCCGTGATCCATCATTCAGACTAGATTTACTTCCTTTCACATCATGCAGAGGGGGTCCTGCCATATCCAGAACTCTTGCAGGATTTGATAGCATCTGATGAAACACAAAGCACAAAATGTGAATTATAAATTAATGGGTTTTGAAGGTTTCTTTCCATAGATAAATAGGGTGATCCATCAATAAACTAAGTTTATGAGGGTTGAAGTTGCTTTTTGGTCCAAGATTGACACTCACCAACAGTCAGGGGCGGCAGAGCTTGGACCCCCTTGTCAGGGAGCTGGACCCTTCATTGGGAAATTCCTGGCACCGCCCCTGCCAACAGTGACAATAAGAGGATTGCCATCTTCAATTTAAGAAAGAGGCAAACCACAAAATATTAGCATACCTCTTTGATGACCTTGATTGCTTCGTTCCTCTGCACAGGTGGTGGATACAGCAAGATTCTATGGAACAGGGACCCTAAGACTGGTCTTAAGGACTCTACGTTTCCAACAAGTCTCACCAGCTCTGCAGCGATGCTGTAGATCACTCTGCTCGAAGGAGTAACAGCCGAAGATGTTGTGGAGTACGTAGAGCCACGTCCTTGATCTGGGACAGAGGTTGCATCATTCTCTTGTGACGTTGATACAAGATCTTTGTCATCTTTTGGTATTCCAAGAATAGCAATAAGTGTTGGACATAATTTTTGCCTGAATGGAGATAAATAAGATGTTAATAGTTTAAATTTTATAGACCTCCATCATCTTTTATCAGAATATGGCATACATTTAATAGAAATAAAGCATGTCACAGAATGGCTTGACATCTGAAGTTACAAATTCCATGTTCAAGGATTTCATGTACGCCAGACATACACTATAAAATGTTTGTCTCTCAAGTCAGATGCAACATAAACTGTTTGATCAAATAGTATTTGAAAATTTTGGGTCTAGCTTCAGTCATATCTGATGGAAACAAATTTTATGTCTGGCTGCTGAAAGTCAAATAGTGCTCCGCTTCCTCAAACCAATGAAACAACGTATGTCTGACTTCAGTGGTGTATCTCAGAATCTTGAAATATGGGAGGTGCCAAGGTGAAGTGGGGAAGGTGGCTTGACGATTAAGCTCACAAAATAAGGTGATATGGGGTGATTTTTAAATACATGAGCGTGATTTTAATGCTACCAACATTTCCAGTGGTGGCAACTGGGGGAGCAAGCTTATATTGGAGCGTCATGCAGACCCCCATGCACCTCCTTAGATATGCCACTGCCTAAAAAACAAGCAAAATTTAACAAAAGTACACTGCCAAAGCTTTTGTGTAAAAAGATTTGGTTTAGAGCTTTCCTAGATGACTTTCAAAAATAATCATGTTGAACATATCTTACCAGACAATCTTGTTGAAGTTGCTGTCATTCCCCAGTTCCTTGCTGGAGTTGGTCAACATGGACAAGATAGCCTCAAGCAACATCGTCAACACAGGCTGCTTCTGCTGGTTGTTATTCAGCCTTAAAATAAACATATTAATATGATGTAAGATAAAATGTAGCTATAAAACAAAAGTAGATTCAGATTGGAGTGGAGTACAAAGCAATACTTATTTATTTACAATTCATTTTCAGATGGCTTCTTAAAACTTAGTGATTTTAGGAATATGCAAAATACTTTTTTCCATTTGTACAATATGAAGTAGCCCATAAAGATAAAAATATGTCTTTACAAAGGTAGATAAAAATTTGTCATTATAAATGTGTTTATGGGTTTATATATTTATGCGTCAACTTTAGAATGAAGTATTATAATTTATTAATTTTTTCAAACAATCATCCAACAGGAATGCTTTGTTCCCACTTACAGTGAGAAACTTTTAAATATATACAGTACATCAAAAATATAATATCACATGGTATAAAATCATTTAAAAAAATTATTGTAACTTACTCATCAATGTTTCAGTGTGGACAGAGCATCTCAGCCCACCTCTTAAGTCCTGTCCAGACTATCAAATTTTATTTGAAAAAAAACATCAGACACGCCTATATATGGTCATGATGACATCACACCATGATCATATAGGCACATCATGACTACATACGGGTATACAACAGTACTTTGTCAAATAACATTTTATAATGCCACTTAACAGAAACTGTCCACTTACTTTTGATCCTCAGACAATCTCTCACATAGAAACTCCAGCACTTTGTTAATATCCTGACACAGGGATGCAGTAGGGCCTAAGTCATCATCTGCAAATGTTAAAATAAAGATGAAAATGAATGTCAGGTATGTACAGTATCAACACATCCTTCAATATCAGAAACTATTTTAAATCCAGACTAAAGAAGAAAAAAGAAAATGTTGATATGTTGTGCAACTGATTTTTTTTAAGGCACAAAACAGGAAATTGAAGAAAAAATCAGGAACGGTTCATGAGATACAGATTTTTGAATAATTAAAAACGGGGAGAAAAAGGTGGAAAAAAGGGTGGTTATGCTCCTATTTTATTTGCCCCAATTTTTTAATACTCAAAAATCTCATATATCATTAACCGTTCCAGATATTTTCGTCAAACACACACTTTAAGCCTTAGAAAAATCAGTTGTACACCATATTAAAAAAATGTTTTTCCTCCGTAGGCTGGCTTTAATGTAAGTATACAATTCTTATTTTTTAGTCAAAGAGGGTTTTAATTACAGGTGTCAGTAGACACTTTTTGTAACCGGTGGTGAAATATTGCCAATTTTATTACTGTGCACTGGAATCATAGAATTTTGCTATTTTTTCAAGGAGTGCTCAAATTGGAAGAGCATAAGCCAGGCATAACTGGTTTATTCATGTAAGTATTCAAAAAATAGGCTTTAATAATTTGGGCACGAATCCTTGCATCCCTCCCTTTTAAACAAACTTTTTTAGAAAAGTTATGTAGAGAATACCATAGGCCTAGTAATTATTTATGATAAAATCATAAAGCAATGTCCAATATGCTCTAGCCACTAATGCTTTTCAATATAAATTATTCAATCATGATGGATGATCGACAGACAGGTCAAGGAATCATGCTGGATTTCACATCCAATTAGTAAAGGCAATAGTAGATGATATAGTGTGCAGGGATTGATAATTTTAATTTAGCTTTCACAAAAAAAAAAAACCATGGTACATAGAGTGATATAAATACTACTAATAGAAGTATTAAGTGAATAATAAAAAAAAAAAATAAGGAATAAGGTTTGTAAGTGACGTGCTTAATTTATTTGATATACTGTTGCACGATAGAAGCATTCTCACACATGTTAATATTTAATCTAATTAAATTGGCAGCCCTATGTTTTTAAATCATAAACTCTAATTCAAGTTTGTGGTGCAGAGGTGTATGACTTTGAGCTTTTAAATTAATGATTTGGAGTTTAAATCTAATGCTTTTTTTAATGCCTATGTATTTGGGCAGGACATTTCATCCATTGATCGGTGAGGAACAATAAGGATTATCAGAGACAATCAGGAAGATGGAAATTTCAGGATGTTTATATTTCAAAACAAGATGAATACAGGCCCACCAGGATTATGATGTGAAACATTTTGACTGCTAATTTAACATAGATAACAAGAAAAAATCGCATACTTTTAGGTACTAATACAATAGGTCAAAGTAGTATACAACATATTACTATAGTCCTATATAGGCAGGTCTATTTCATATAGTTGGCCTATTGGTTACTAAAGCCTATAAGATGTTATAGGAAGCACATTCATATATGTTTTATAAAAGATTGTACTCTACAAGCAACGTTCAGCAAAATATGGGCCGCAGCCAGATTTAAGGACACAAAACATTTTTTTTTGGGCCGCAATGGCGAGTAGGAGAAAAATCATGGATTAATTTATGTAAAACTGCATTATTGATATAGTAAATATGCAGTTCTTGTTACTTATTTATAGAACAGATAATAATGTCAAATTATTGTACATTGTAAGAACATGTAGGTGATTTTCACGACCAGAACTTCTAGCCAGGTTTGGCTATGATGGTCCCCGGCACAGAAGGGCCGAGGCTTGGTGCCTAGAATCTCAAGTGGGCAGTGAAGTAAAAAGTTTGCAGAAGGTTGCTCAAGGATTGTAATAATGATGTTTATTGAACAATATAGTCAGGTTTTAGTATATGGAGTCATTATTTCCCAAAAAAAGTTTTGAAGGAAATAATGTCTCCTAAAGCTTCTATTTCCTATAGTGTATGAAATTACTTGACTTATATACTGTAATTGCTTTATAAGTCAGTTATGACGTCCATCAGCTTTTATAAGGCCCTTTAATCAAACTGAGCTAGTTGCAGAGCGGTTGCAATATATATTCGGAGCCAACAGCCAAACCATGCTTAGATTAAGAAATAGGATTGTTCTTTGTATACAGTTACTCTATATGGTTATATTAGGTACAGTAATACCTTCTTGGTCCGCCTTTTCGTATTTATGTTAAGCGCATGGAGGCTCCGTAATATGCGCTTTATAATTTGACCATTATTTTCATTATAAATTAGTGATTGCTGCGATTGCTGTGCGTGTGTATTAGCTGCGCGTATTAGAATAATTTGTTAGCGCTGAGTGACATTCTTCGCACAGCTCTTTAAATCTCCTCGTAGAGCGAGATTTGTTAGGTTCGCAGTGTGCGTTCATAGCTTGGCCTAGCAATGAAATATTCCATCGTGATATACTGCAGTAAAATCATCCCAGCTTTGAGCTTTTTGCACACGAGATGCAAAAAAATCGGAGGCACAATATTATTATTTTTTTTTTCATTTCAAATTTTTTATTCAGAAATCAGTACAAGTACAACATTTTGAAGCAACTTAAAATAAAATAATTAACTATATCAAATTAGTGATCAGTCGGGAAAAGGAAAATTCAGTGCAAATTAAAGTGATGATGTCACTACTGACTTATAAAGGACATTATAGGCCATCTATAGGAATCTAAGCACTGCCTATAAAATCATACAGGCCGTTTGTAGGATCATATTGGCAGCCAATGGGATTCTATAGTTTGGCCATATGCTGCACTACAAAAGGATTAATCCTATTATAACATGTACATTTAGTACTGTATGTGTTGTCATACTTACGTTTTTATTTTTGCAGAGGTTTGCGTTAGGGTGCAAATTGGGTTCGGAAGAAACAGTTAGTGAGCAGGGAAAAGAAAAGAATGCAAGTTGAGTGATGGGAAACATAGCAACAAGCTGCAACAAAAAACTAAACAAAAAGGTTACTAAAGCTCTGTTCACAAATTATACCATATATAGTCATGATGTGCCTATATATGGTCATGATGTACCTATATATGGACATGATGTGATGTCATCATGCCATAATTAGGCATGTCACATGTTTTTGTCAAATAAAAAAATATGATACAGAGTCTAGACAGGGCTTAAGATATTAAGTTTTTGACTAGAGTATTAATAACATTAAAACATTTTCACATACGTTGTTGGTACAGTACTGGTATTTACCAAAGATACTAGAAATACAAGATAGAGTTCTCCACACAAAAAAAGTGTTCCACTGTGTTCCACCGAAATGCATGGTGGGAATACGAAAAATGGGACGCCCCCTACAGCTGGATCTAAAAAAAATTGTGCCAAACTTTCATTACCAAGTCGTTGCGTATTTTATTATCAATTCTCAACAAAGATACTAGATATAAAAACAAACTGGAATAGACACCCAGACAGTGACATCGGTGAATACATAACCTCCTTGGTGGAGGTATAAATCGTTGCTATTATCCAAATAATACAAAAAACAATTAAAGCATAATCATGAATTAGTAAAGAATAAAACAACAATACAGCGCAGAATCGCATGGCCGGACGCACTCTTAGTGAAAAAGTTTTCCTCCATTAGTGGAAAAGGAAGGGCGCCTTTTGCGTCTGGATATACTGAGCAACAGAAGGGCGCCCTGTACGTTGGGCACGAAGTATAGGAAACTTGCATGGTTAAAAAGAAGGGCGCCGCCTACGTTGGGCACGACTTCCGCCTCATTTTTACAATGCGAGAACTCTATCTTGTATTTTTAGTATCTTTGTATTTACATATAAATTAACCAGAAAGTGTTATTTCTGGATGTGAGGTGCTGTGATACTGTACCTAATTGGACAAGAGCTAGCATTTTTACATTATCATTAATCAAAATTATATTTTTAAATATTATTTACAATTAATAACAATTATACTTGGTGGAAAATTCATATTAACAATAATTTTTTATAATACCTTTATTATTTTTTTTACTATATATACTATATATACACCATCAATCATGAGATTTTTTTTTTCTAGTTTATTCTATAAGTATTTTACTTTCAATTATAAATTTTCTTTAAAATACAATGACATATTCTAGTATTACAGTAATGTTATAAATGTGTGGTGCATTTAAATGATCTTTTATTAATATTTTTAGGATAAATACGAGATAAATTTGAGCAAATTATAGAAATATGACAATCAATCAAACCAATGTAATACTGTTAGTAATTGCAAAGAAAAATGAAATGTAGTTATGAAATGATGCAATGATCATTATGTTAGGCGAGACTTTTATTACACCTTGTTTTTTTTTTTGTTCTTTGTTAGAAGATCTTCGGAAAAATAAAATAAAATTTTGTTTTCTTATTAGCAAAAAAAGCTTCTGCACAACGGAAGCTTAGCGGAAAAGATATAAAAACTAAAATTTTATTGATGAAATAAACAATTTGAGTACTTTGTGTGTAAAAAGTAATAGAGGGCGCCCTTAAGCTCAAGATCACATCGCAAAGTTGTATAAATAAGTATTGTTGTATAAGGTAAACAGTTCAGTAATAAGATTTATAAAAGTTTTGTTACATTGTTATGAGGAAGAAATGAAGATTACTTATCTGAAGATTTTATGAATTTAGAAAACCAATACAAATTTTAGAAAGAAAACCCTCTTTTTTTTTAATACTACTGTAAATATTATTTATATTTGAAATTCTCATTTGGAAAGGATGACAGGCAATGGGGACAAGGTCTAAAAAAAGTCACGCCTTATTCATGCAATGATAGTTTATGCGAAAATTTGTCAAGAATAATTTTTTTTGTTAAACTACCAAAGCCTATCAATATCACAGCAATCATTATACAGTATATACAAACACCTACACATGTAGAGTAGACCTAAAAAACAAATAATCAAAACACCCACGCAGACACCCACACAAACACTGTTATACAGGTGTTAAATTTAAACCTGAAGTACAAAAAACACATCATAAACACATTTTAAGAATTAATCCTAATGATAAATTCACATAATAAAGAAATTAATTAACATTGCAATGAAATACACATGAGATTCAGTATATTTGAACATTTACTTAGAGATAGGAATTAATATGACAATTTAAACATGAGGAATTTAAACAACAATTGTCAGCACATGTAAGCCACATAACAGAAAATGTATGACTGTTGAAAAGCCATTAAAATTGTTTTTGGTGTACAGAGCAATCGTATGTGGCACTTATCCAAAGCATATATTGTTTAACTAACCTTTTAATTGAAAATCACATCGATATTTATATATTATCTCTATTCACCACATTATTCACAACAATAAGACTCAAACTTAAGTCTCGAAGGTATAAATTTAACATGTTACTTATTGAAAATTCCAACTATAGAAAAACAGAGTAACTATTTTGTGGTTTTTTTTTTCTACGCTAACATACAGTAGAGAATCTATCTTACCTTTGCTACTAAACTCAGCTATAACATCAGCAACGTCTTCTTTCTATTAAAAAAACATAAAGATAAAAGTTTAATATACTAGTGTACTTATAATGAGAAAAACCTGACTTCAATATTTTAAATGTTTATATATTCAAATGACAATTAAAATGAAACAAATATGTATTCATTAAATTTCTTATATCTTTTGCACAGACCTTGGAATAATTCAAGATTTCTTTTAAAGTACAGCATAACGTCTGTAAGTCAGTGTGAAAACTTGATTAATTTGATATGTGTTATATTTGATTTCATTGTTTTAAATAAACATTTAATATTAATAGTTTTTTATTTAATTTTTGAAGTTTTTTTCCATATTTCACCAAAGATGATATACATTTTTAATTATGTAAAATCAATACACTTTGTTAGGGATAATAGAGTTTGAATTAATTTGGGAAATAAATTTTTAATATTGACAATTAAAGAAGATTTATTGCTATTGTAGATGTAAATTCTGCCAAGCAACATAGTACAAGGTTTAAGGCTAAGTCATAATGCCTTGCATTCAATCAAGTCCAGTCTAACTAAGGTATTGATCGAAACTCATAAAATACATAGTCTGGAATTTTTCTTGCATGCCATGCTCCATATAAAATTGTATTAAAATTCCACAGATGACTTAAACATGGATAATGTTGATTGGAATTAATAATTTTACAAATATATGTTAAAAATAGAGAGAAAGGGTTACCAGTTTGAAATATAACAAACTATATAACAAAAAAATATCAAGATGTGGACAAAGTACAAAATAATAATAGAATGAATTTTATTCCTAAAAATGACACGGCTATATTATTCATACATGGCGAACATCATAAAACTATAGGATTCTACTCCAATCAAATCTCTTAATTTTTGAATTATTCAAAAAGAGTGGTATGACTATTGTATAGGAACAATGGTTCTAGTATTGTTTTCTAGCCTCTGTTTTGTCGATTACAAATATGACTTAAATCCAATAAAGATTTCTACACCATTATCTAACCTCTTGGTGTGCTAATTAAACTCAAGCATCCTGAGTGCACAAGGTAAGGCAAGAATTTTTTTCATTCCTTTTTTAAAATTTTTTTTCTGAAATTTCCATTTTTCGTGGCAGCACATGTGCTAATTAGCCAAAAATGAAATTTTATTTTTATTTGAAATCACTAAACAAGGTATAAAAAAGTTTCGCCTTAAAAGCCTCTTAATTTTATATTTAAATTTTAAAAAATCTTTAAGGTAGGGGATTAGAATAAAAATATTGATGCATGTTTGTTAAATTCAATATATTTTTGTCATTAATGTGCTGTAAAATCACTTTAATTAACAAGGCAGTTTCAGAGTCAGCACATTTTCTTTAAACACAACAAACAATAACGTAATTAAAGATACTGCGACATGAGAAAAAGAACATATCAATTAAGTGACAGCATCACGATATGAATCAAATATTGTTGATCAAATTATTGTTGAAATTCCTTGAAATTGGTTTTAATGTCATTTGGGAGATGACTCAAATTAATTATAGATCTATATTAACAAGGATGAATGTTTACAATATGCTATATGATGAAACACCTCACATCAAAAATTATCTACTAGTTTGGGACATAAAATTATCCATAATCATTTTCATTCAATATCTTCTTTTTTTTTATAGAATACCATCATAAAATTAAATTATGCAATTTTACAAGTACAAATAATTTTACATGTATCTACAGTATACGACCGATCGTTCAAAACAGCGTTAATAAATTATTCACCGACAAGATTAATGACCATCAACATAAATATCAGCAAGTTTCCATTATAGTGGACTATAGTCGACGGTGTCTAGTCAAGTGTAACTCGGCTACAATAAATTCAAACACAGGCTGTAATCATTGATTATTCTGCCACAGCTCACTAACACTCATATTACATTATTACTGTATAAAGATCAACTCTATAGGGAATATAAAAGCATACAGTAGGTTTAAAAATAACTAAAATACATAAGTAAATACTTTTGTCAAGAAAAACCATGAGCCAGTGGGAACCTCTTCACATTACAATATATTACAAAAGTTGAAATAAGGACAAGAAAGTGCTGGAGTTATATCCTATAGTAAGTAAAAGTAAATCCTTGCTGATCCACAAGGGCTTATAGGGCTGGAGTTTATCTTCAGTTTCTATAGCGGATGAGAGCGTAATACTTCCCTAGGTGGAACTTTGGTCTGGATCACCCCAGGTTACTCCCAGCAATTTGCTGGCACCCATTAATACAGCTAGGGAGACTGAAGTAATGTAGATAAAGTGCTTTGCTCAACGACACAAGTGAAATGCACAGCAAAGGATTGAAACTCCAACCTCGAGGTTGGGAAAGCAAACCATTCCCACTGAGCCAAACCGCTTCCATATATACATCATAAAAATAACCCAAAATTATTTTAATTATTCCCATGAGCGAGTTGAATAGCAGAAAGGTTAAGGTAGAGGCAGCCATAGTATCGGTGCTGGTACGAGCAGCGCTCTTATCTAAGGTTCCAGTGGAGGAAAAAGGCCTCTCAGATAAGGACTATATACCGTAGGTCCAGTGTACACAATTGGCTCAAATGCACTATAAATGACCCACTGGTACATCTTTCGAGACGAGTAGGGAGTTACCCCGGTGTACTGGTCCATATAGCCCTAGTTGTGGACAGATGAGTGTAGCTGGTACCATTTTACCGGGTAGCCCAAACACGAACAGACACTTAGCGGAGAAGAAAGTTACTGCACCTGCTGGTCCAAGCTTTGAGCCTTATGAGACAGATATCTTCCAATACAGCGATCCACTTAAGTGATTTTTCTCCCCATACAGATGCCATAACTGGGGACTTCTGGTGGGGGATTCTCACGCAACTTCTACTAGAAATGTAAATATTGGAATATATGTACATACAGTGTTTTTTCGGTGTAATCTATTCTAAAGACTTGCCAAGACATAACATGGACATGACATATGTGGGGGAAGGGGACCCTGAGGGGGTACCCAGCAATGGTCCCTTTCAAGAATTCACAATTGGATATGGCTATACTACAGTATGATTACAATGGAGATACTTATATGTTTTAATGCAAATACAAAATGCAGATTTATCTTGCGATGGCAGAGTATGATAGTAATAGAGATACTCTTAACTATTTGTTGTCATAAAATATTTGAATATAGTTTGAATATACACAAGATACATATATCCTCCTATACTACAGTATGACAATAATGGAAATAATGTAATGCAATTTCCATGCATTTTAAAACTAATACGACAGCCAGACATTTTAGCAGTAATGGGATTATTCTGCATTCAGTATATGCAGCACCAAAATTAGTTTTATGAGTGATAAATACAACAGCTGTTGACTTCACAACCTTACTTTCTATCTCCCCTTTAACCAAAGGATGTTAAAAATTGAAACAAGTGTTTACTACGACTATTCAAAATGGTGGCACCTGATGGGAATTTTTGCACAAATCAGAAATAATAGCACTTTACAATGTATATTTATGATAATTACATAGATGATTCCATTGTAATCCATGGCTTAATTATGGCCTAGCCATTGTGATTTACCAACAAAAATCAATATAATTTACTAGCAGCTTTGTTTTGTTTGTGATTGTGTAGAGCAGGCATTTTTTTGTCAAGATAAACAGGCCCAGGGATATATTTAGCAGCGTGTGAAGAATTTAAATCCAATAACCTAAGCCCCACTAAAGCTAATGTACAAATTTGTATAGACTAACGAGCAAATAACCTGTAGACATGGTACATACAGATGCATGGATACACAGATAGTGGTAAACAAATGTTCCAGTATGAATGGAAAGACAGAGTTACATTTAGGCAACCAAAAAAGACAGACTGATGAAAGCAAATGTGGTGGTAATGCAATACAGCAAAGGTTCATTGATGGACAGATACGCAGACAAACCTGTAGACAATACTGTTGATGGATGGATGGGAGATTGATGAATAAATGAATGAATGGGGCATAAATGAACGGATGGCCAGGTGGATAGATAGATAGATGGATGGACAGGGTAATGGATGGATGGATAATTGAATTGGGAAATGGATAGTTTTAAATCGGAATGAATGGATGATTACATACACATATAAATGAATGTAGATACATTGATAAATTAATTAATATACTGATGGATAGATGAGATGGATGGGTAAAAAATGAGGGATGATTAACTTGATGAACTGATAAATGCATGCAAGGGTAGATGAATGGAAAGGCAAATAAATAAACGAGTGACTAGGTGAATTTATGGACAGAATGTATCAATAGATATTTAAGTAAATGAATGAATAGATGATTATATTAATAAAGAGAGATACGGTAGATGTATGACTGGATCAGGAGTACATTCAATAGATTAATAAGCAAGTAAATAGATGGATGGATATATGAATAAAGAGATGGAGTAATGAATGGAGTAGATAAATAAATGGATGGAATACATCAAATCAAAAGTGAATACACTTAGCGGTTCCAGGAATTCAAAATAGAGGGAGTTCAGGAAGGGACTACACCACCTCAGCCCCAATATGGTTAGGGCTAAAGGTAAGCAAATTTATGAATGCAGGTAAACTGAACAAAGAGATGATTGAATAGAAGAATAGATAAATATATAAATGGATGAATGAATGAATGAATGAATAAATGGATAGATGAATGAATAAATGGATAGATGAATGAATAATAGAGGAATTAATAAATGAAAGGATGAATCATTTGCACAATTATTCCAAGTATCAGCCAGAAGTATATCAGGTGAGAATTATTTATACCTTGTTTCACAAACTTATTTTTTTAAAGATCGTCAAAAGAGGGCGCAAAAAAAATAAAAATAAAATTTTGTTTCCTTATTTAGCAAAAGTTTTTGCAAAAAACATTCAGATGGAGTAGAAAATAAAATAAAAAAATTATTGTTGAATGTAAACAGTGTAACAATGGGATGGTTAATTGTTTTAAATTTATATACTGTAATTTTATATAAATTTCCTACCTCAAAAATATTGACTCACCAGTGGTTGGGGCTGGGGTGAGCACATTTTTAACATAGATACCTCTACATTTCTGGAAATTGCATTTTCATACTCAAAAATAAGTTTCTAAAGCAGTGTTTTTAACAGAATAGCATGCCCCGAGCCTGCTGGTGCCGGAAATGGTTAGACATCGCATCATATTAGTGTCCCACTTAATCCATTGTCCCCATTAATCTACCCCTCCACATGCCAGTACCCTACACCACTAGATACAGTGAGCTATACTCAGAAAAAGCCACACTCTTGCAAACATTGTTAGAGTATGGGTACCTATGTGGTGTTGCTCTAAATCGAAAACCTTTGTCTAAAAATCGGCGGGAAAATGATTTACTTTTAGCAACGTTTCGCGGGCCGGATAAAAATCTTTGGCGGGCCGAATTTGGCTTGTGGGCCGGGGATTGAATATACCGGGGCTTTACGGTAATCTATAGTTCATGGCTCATTAATATTGCCTGAAGTGTGCTTAAGTTGCGTACAATATATGTGTAGAAAGCAAATGATTAATAACAGCCTTGAAAATAGCTCATTGATTCTTCTCTGATGACAATTGCGATGAATATACAGTAGAAAATCAAATAATTCTATCAATGTTTCAATTTTGAAGAGAAAAAAATGTTTATTAGGGTACAGTAGTAGAATTTGTATGAATATAGTATCACATACAATTGTTTTTCTGTTCCAAACATGTTCTGCACAAATGCATTTTGAATTGTTTGATGATACGAAAGACTTTTTTGAAACAATTTGGTAGAAAATTCTACTAAATATCTTAATGGCATCTTGTGATTATTTTTGTTTACAGACATCTCTTGACTAGTGATGAAAATGTATCACTTTTTAAAATAGTCCAGAATTAATTTTGAGAATTACTCAAGTGAATATAAAACAGTTTGAATACTGTATATGATTTTTAATTCTTTAATACCAACACTTTTTTTGTTATCTTTTTTTTTTTTTGGTTTTGTCACCAGAATTTTGTCATAATATAATACAAAATGTTTGGTGGTGATCAGCATAGGAAACACTTTGTAATGGGACCACACAATAATAATCTCTTAAGTAGCAAAATAAAATCTATATGGTAGATAAAAAAACATGTCTCTGTAGTACCTAAAGACTCCCAACTAGTTTCTATTGAACCTTCATGCTTCTATAAATGAGGAGGAGGGGGAGGGAAAGAGGGAGAGGGGGAACTGTCATTATACAATGGGCAGATGGGATAATCATAAGGCAAATCTCAATGTTATCCTATCAGTTTCTGTCTATCGAAATATATAGAACCATTAGATATTTAAAAAAAAAAACAATAAATAATTATATAAAAAAATATATAATATCATGAACACGGCAAAAAGGTTGAGAAGCTTTCAGTGATATTATATCACCATAAATAAATCAACATCACAAAATATTAAATTTTCATAATAGATCACACAAATTCAAAAAATAAATATAAAAATATTGCCAATTTTTTTTTTACTTTAAACCGCTTACAACTGATATACTGTGTGCAATGTATCTTCAATTTTATGCAGTTATCTGTCATACAAAATACCGCACACTATTTATCTATCAAATCTGCTATTTAGTTTCCTAAATGTTGCTAATATGTAATCTGAGCCACGTGGAACAGTGTTCAGTGAGGCGCGGAGCCATCTGGCACAGAGCCAAGTGCTTTTTCCAGGTTGCCTTGCGAGTCATTATTGATTGTTATGGTAGTACTTCCACATCATCAACTGCCTATTACACAGACTAGCAATGCATTATAACAGATTTTCACTTGCCCACATTAAGATACAGCCATTCCTGGTAATATTTTTTCAATTCAAAGTTGGTGAAGTGAAATTTCTGGGTAATTTGTTGTTTATTGAAGTGAAATTTCTGGGTTTTTTTGTTTTTTTTTGGTGTATTAACTACATGTATGACATGTTAATTCAACGTGTGCCTGCTGTTACCAAAAGCCATTACAAATATTTAACAGAAACACACAGTAAGTGTGTAGGGGGAAATTCCTTAAAAATCTGGGAAATATGCAAATTTCTTGGGAGGTCTGTAGTAAATTGCTAGGTGAACACATAGAGTTGATTTGTTTGTTTCTCACTGACCAGATATATCATACAGAAAAAGTAAAACAAAATGATTGAATGATTGAATGAATGTACACCTGGATGGATTTACAGTCTGGTCTTTTTAATTTTTCCTTATTTTTTTGTACATTATAGTCATTTTTGCAATACGTTGTTCTGCCATAGGTCATGAATGAGCCACTGAGCAGATTACATTTTCTGTATACTCTATCTGGCGCAATATAAATTCCATTGATTTATTGATCAATTAATTGATTGATCACTCGCGCTCACTCACTAGCTCGATTGATAAATGGATAAATGAATGAATAAAAATACATCACTCTTAGTAGTTATCCACAATCATTTGATATACTGAAATGGAAATATCTTTCAGAAGAAGAAAATTCTAGCTGTCTCATACAAGAAGGATGTGCAAGAGCACATTATGTAACAAATATCAACATTTAAATAACTATGATTTTCTTGTATTACCATAGACATCTGCTCTACAAATGTTTTTTATGCTAAAGTAGGCCTATATTCTATTATTATTTAGTTTCACATCTATAGTTTAAATATTTAAATTATTAATATTAAGGCAATAATAATGTCTAATTTTATTGTTTCAGGTTTTAAAACCTTACAGAATAATTTCTGGTAGATTTAGTACGTCATTCCAGATATTTTCTCAACAGTTTAATGACCTTTTATTGTTTCTCTACCTGTTAATAGGTTCATTAACATTGCTGTTTTGTGTTTCTGAGACACAGTGTTTATTCGAATAAATGCCACCTCCAGGCCTCTGGACGTCTCCATCAAAAAAACCTCCCACGGCGTTTACTTGTTAATGTTCTGCTCCAATTGAATAACGTTTTTTTCTAAACCTAGTTGTGATCAGTAAGTCTTATGATCAATAACAAATATTGACTTCATGTACAGTATATGTTGGAGTTTCACAGTTACAGTGAAATTAAGGGGCATTTATATGAGTATCTACATATCCATTCTACACCGAAAAGAATAAACGCCACCCTAGAATAAACACCTCCTTCAAATAAACGCCCCCTCAAAAACTCTTCTCAACCATAAACGCCCTGGGGCATTTATTCAAGTACAATATCTCTTAAACTAGAGTGGGCATTTTAAGGGTTGAAAGTTGAAAGCCATCTTGCCTAAACTGGCTTTTAAATATTTCTCTCAGGCACTTTGCACACGAATAAATAGGTTAATTGATAATGGCTACAGACTTTAACATTGCATAATATAATACTGTACAACCAGAAGGAAGCGTAAAGTTCATACGTTACCATTTTCACCTTGGAGTTGTGACGGTCTTGAAGGAACTGACAGACATGGCTCAGGGTCTGTGTCAACGTGACTTTGACTGCTGTCCTCACGCTCATCTGTGGGTTGTTTTTGAATGTGTTTGTGCAAAGCTGAAAAAAAAAAGACGATAAAAAAATCTGATGTGAATTCTACTGTCTACTACACTACAGTATAGTAATCATAGTGATATTGTAGCTTCATATAATGTACAATGTGGTGGAACACACATCCATCCATTGTACTGTGGAAAAAAATAAATATGCTGAGCATTCCATTCTTGTGATTGGCTGTACAGAGCTGTAGTACAATAGTATGTAGTCTGTAGAAACATTTGTTGAAGAAGTTCATATTTCATGTAAAAAGTAGCGAGTCAGAGTCTACCTGGAATCAGCAATACCGGTGGCCAAAACTGACCAACAGCAACACAACAACCGTATGAACAATAGACAAGAATAGCTTACTTTGAAGACAGCAGGTTTACCAGGCCTGTAGCATGACTTAATTTGTGGGAGGTTCATTTCAGTAGAAAGTGGACCTTTTGGCTTGTATGATCACCAATACTCTGGAGAGCATTGTAAATATATCTACGAATATCAATTTTTCGTTTTTAAATGCGGACCTTCTCCAGTTTTTGGGCGGTTCTTCGTAACCTCTTTAACCCCCCCACGCTACGGGCCTGTTTACTAAAAGCTAAACAGGCAAGGATTGGAGCAATAAACAGCACTGGTGAAACCAATAAATCTCCGATAAATGTAGATCAGCTGATCAAGCAGTGGCAAAGTAATAGAAATCATGGTGAAAAATGAATAGGTCTAAAACTTACTCTATCTTCACAGCATGGAGCTACCGTATTGTATACTCACAACTGTTATCCAGCATACGTATACATAAGAGGATCTTAAAAAATACATAAAAAATAGCTGCCAAGTTTGGACGATGATATGCTTTTGAGTAGTGGATTGGATAAGAAATCTTAGTCTACAAACTAGGACTCTACATATTGTAAATCATGTAAACAGAAACCGGCTGTAATCACATTTAATGCTAACTAAAGCACTACCACTCCACTTGTATCTACCTGCTGTTTACTTTAGTGCACTCTTCTGAGGTAGCATGGGGTCAAAGTTCAAATCACTGGAGCCTGACATCATTTTGATATTTTAATTTATTAAGAAGCATTTTTAAAAAATAAAGTTTGTTATTCACAAATGATTTCGAGTATTAAAGTTCACTGGTTTTCTATTTTCTAAATAATCTGAAATCAACATTTTTTTTTGTTGATCTTTAATGGGCATGGTCAACCTGTGCAGTTTTAGCATAGACAGCATAATTGTTTCATACTTTAAGTAAACATAATCTCATGTTAAATTCTATATAAAGTTACAGTAGAAAAAAATTCAATGGAATTCGTGGTAAAATATTTCTGGTCATTACGAATACTCTTTTTATTCATTTGTTATTAAAATCAAATTAGTTATTCAAAAGAAATGTAGCATTTCTTCACAAGAAATAAAAGATGTTGAGAGAATGCCCTGGAGATAAATATCAACACACTGAATGTAAGAATTGTTCCAGATGATATTTTGTAATAGAGCTGTGGCTCGACTATAATTCCAAATGCAGCAAAGGAAGTTAATTTATCAATTGAAAGGTCGTGTCTTTAAAATGATGCTATTTTCATCTGTGTGACGTCATTTGATTACGAAAGCAACGTTAACAAGGTTTGTACAGAAGCTTTCCATATGGCACCAAAGTAACTGTTCAGCCTTTAAAATACACTAATTTTGAACACTAAAATTATTGAAGTATGACATTTAGATCTTGATAAGTTTTTTTAAATATCGAACAATCATTACTATTTAACATGGCATCCAACATCATGTATCATTAGATGCAAATCAGCTTTATAATTCCTATTATTTCTTTCTGTCCTTTGTATGTCTGGATGTTCGTATTATTTGACTAAACATTAATTTGTCTTTCTGCTTTTTTCGAGGTCATTTGAATGAGTTTGAATTTGAAGTTTAATATAAAAATTAATTAAAATAAGCAAGCCACCAATAAAACTCTTATGATAGTTTTATTATTAACATTTTATTAATTATCATTATGATCCTATTTATTATGAAAATCATTATTATTATTATTATTATTATTAGTATGATTATTATTATTATTATTATTATTAGTATGATTATTATTATTATTATTATTATTAGTATTATTATTATTATTATTATTATTATTATTATTATTATTATTATTAGTATGATTATTATTATTATTATTATTATTATTATTATTATTAT